GTTTTCTGGAGAAATAAATGTAGGTAAAAGTATAGATACAGAAAAAATATCTATACAGACAAGTATAGATACAGAAACCAACAAAACTGGTCAGGCTTAAGATGGAGAAATTTCCCTGGAGGTGAAAATTCATCTTTGCTTCTCTCAGATCTCTTTCAAGCAGTCAGATCTGAGGAAACAGGTAGCATCTCAGCAGTAAGTAGCATAGTGGTAATTCAGAGGAAATCTATTTCTTCGCATACAAAAGACCCTGCGGCTAAGATGCTGTGACCCTTGCTAGCTGAAGTCTTTGAGTTGTCTGTGACAACTTATTTTTCAATTGCAGGACCCCAAAGAATATTGTGTCTTTATTTTTTTAGAACTCAATTCCTGTGACCAAAGAAACTCTGTATTCTCCCTTCTGAACAGTAGGGGAAGAAGCTCTGTTACCTACTGGAAGTTCAGTGCCAACAAAGAGAATTATCTTTTATTTCTGTGCCTAGAAATCTTAGAATACTTGCATTTGGAAAAGATTACATTTGGGCAAAAAATTTCAGCCTTTCTGATATGTGTCTTTCTCAGGAATGCTGTGATTATTTTTTCTGCAGATGTTACACAATTTAAAACTTCAGTTGTTGGAAACAAGGCATGACTATGTTACAGAAAGCTCAAGTAATCCAGAGCCAGTGGCTATTGCATGGAGTGGCTTGGGGAAAAAAAACAATGATTCATTCTCAGTGTAGTGCAGAGAATAGTTGGGACCAGACATTTGGTTCATTTAATTTGTTTTTTGACAAATAAAATGAGGTGACACATTCTGAAGCACCATGCTATATTGAGACCTAAAGCTAAACTTTTAAAAATTAGGGGGGAGAGAAGAGCAGGGTAGAGGAAGGCAAAGGCTAACAATGTTCCGGTTTTTTCCTCCCATTGCTTTTGCAGTCAAAGACAAGACATTGGGGACAGTGTTTTTAAGCATTTTTGCTGGTGTTTGATTTCTCAGGCACCTGCAGTTGAATTTCTCTGCATTGAAAATAAGCGAGCAAACAAAACTAAGTATAGAAAGATGGCCGTATGCATTTTATAAATGCAGAGCTCTGCAGTGACAGTAGCTTTTAGAGCTGAAGTCCCTATTAATAACTTTCCATTACAAACCCCAGGTATTATTTTTGCCAATATTGATACTGTTCAAAGTTAAATTCAGTGAGTGGTTACTTGACTGTTGTCTAAGCAATATGGAGCTACTGAAGTACAAGTTTAGCTGGGTGCTTCATAAGGGCAATCTCTTTATCGCTTTGCTTCAGGAGTCTCTGGTTTCCTGCAGTTAATGGCTTTTATTTTTACCATATTATTGCCTTGTTTCTCTTGTGGAAAGTACGTAGTTTAGTCAACATAGGGTTAACTTGTTCATGTTGTTTAATTTCTTTGCGTTTGGCCATAAGGCTGGTAAACTGAGGTGAAGAGCTGTATGCCAGAGGATTTGGACAATCCCATTAAAGTGCTATATAGAGATGTCCTAGCGTATTTATCTCCATTTGTAGAGGTGTTTCATTTTATTTAAGCATAACAATGTGTTGGTTTACCCTTTCACAAATTTTTAAATAGTGCTATGGTGTATTGTTTACATCTGAAATAATTCCTTTGTAAATGATGATTTTTCATGCAATACTGTGAACACCTGGACAGAGAGGTGCCATATCAGCCAACCTCGAGATAAAGAAGTTCGTTACTGTTACTCTCATTGCTGTTTCAGATGTGCACCTACAGGTGTACTGATGAGTTGTGGAAGTTGGGGGGGGGGGGGGGGGG